GTTTTTGCCACTCCTCCGCTTTTGCCCACCCCATCTTCTCATTTATTTCAAGTTACTGGTAAGCCCAAGCCTCGGGTTTCCATGGATGAGTGCAGCTTCTGTCATCAAAAAGGCCATTGGAAACATGCATGTCCTAAACTTTTGCAGCCCAAGGGTCGTTCATCTGGTTCACCATTCGCTAAGCCGACATTTTCAGGATCTCGCTCATCTGCCGCCTTTTCTGCACCAGTTTCTGAGAATGATCCATCTTCCAATATGCAGTCTATGTTTGAGCAGTTCAAGTCTTTCATGGTGGCCAATCCAAATCTTTCGTCCCAAGCCTCCGCTATGACTACCACTCAATTCGGTTTGTCTGGTTCATCCTCTTCAGGTAATATCCATACTTCGTGGATCTTTGATTCTGGTTGTTCACATCATATGACCCCTGTTGCATCTCTCCTCAATAATTGTGTCTCTCCTTCTTCTTCTATCACTATTGCTACCGTTAATGGTTCTTCTATGCCTGTACACTCTATTGGTTCTATTTCCTGCTCCCATTTGTCTCTTTCTCCTCTATTTTATGTGCCTCACCTCTCACTCAGTCTTATTTCTATTAGTCAATTATCTGATTCCGGTTTTGATGTTGTTTTCTCTTCTTCTCATTGTGTTGTACAGGACCGGGTATCCAAGAGGCAGATTGGGATCGGGCGTAGAGTTGGAGAACTATATATCTTGGAGAGCTTGCATGTTCCTCTAGAAGTGTCTTCTACTGCATTGTCTTCTTTTTGTTTAAACAATAAGTCATCTTTGTTTTATATTTGGCATTCTAGGTTAGGTCATCTGTCGAGTGATCGGTTGAGGATGTTAGTTAGGTCTGGACATTTAGGCAATTTTCCCATTAGTGATATTTCTGAGTGTCGTGGTTGTAAACTGGCTAAAATGTCCATGAGCGGACCAAGCATGTTGAAATCGATTGTCACTTTGTTAGACAGTATCTTCAGGCTGGCACTATTACTCTAGCTATTCATGGAACTATTCATCAGTCTTCGTGTTCTGACACTCCTGCACAAAATGGTCGAGCTGAGCGCAAACATCGCCATCTCCTTAATGTTGCTCGCTCTTTGTTGCTCTCCTCTTTTGTCCCTTCTGTTTTCTTTGGAGAAGCTGTGCTCACTGCTGCATATCTTCTCAATCGGATGCCTACTCCTCTTCTCTCAGGCTCATCTCCGTATGAGCGTCTTTTTGGTGTTACTCCCAATTATTCTCTTCTTCGTATTTTTGGTTCTGCATGCTTTGTGCTCCTTCCTAAACGGGCGCGCTCCAAGCTTAGTTCTCGTTGTGTCCTATGTGTCTTTTTAGGGTATGGCATTAATCAGAAAGGTTATCGGTGCTATGATCCTGCCACCAAAAAGCTATATGTGTCTAGGCATGTCACTTTTTTAGAAAAACTACCCTACTATACTATACCTTCCACCCCTGTTCCTATTACTAAGGATGAATTGGTTCATGTTGACCCATTTCCTCCTAATGTTTCTCCTGATGAGTTTGTTTCTGACCTTGAGGTCTCTACTTTGCCTCTTACTAGCACTTCTAATACCTCTCCAGCTACCTCATCTCCAGCTCCCGCTTCTCCTGCTCCCACTTCTCCTGCTCCTCTTATTGTTTATCAACGCCGCAAAGCACTTCCGAGCTCACCTGTCTCTAGCTCTACTGTCCCTCCAGCTGTTTCTTTGGATCCCGCTCCTTCTGCACATCGCTTCCCAAAGCGAGATCGTCATCCTCCGAACTGGTATGGTTTTGGTAATACATGTTTTTCCCTTTCCTATCAGTCTTTTCTTTCTTGTCTTCATACATATTTTGAGCCCAGGTCTTACAAGGAAGCTTGTCATGATCCCAATTGGATTGCTGCCATGAATGATGAGTTAACTGCTTTGGCTAACACTCAGACTTGGGATTTGGTTCCATTACCTGCTGACAAGAATGTTGTAGGCTGTAAATGGGTCTATAAGGTCAAAACCCTTTTTGATAGGTCTTTGGAACGGTACAAAGCTCGTCTCGTTGCCCAAGGCTTTTCTCAGGAGTATGGAATTGATTACGATGAGACTTTTGCCCCTGTTGCCAAGATGACTACTGTTTGTACTCTTATCTCTGTTGCTGCTGCCCATCATTGGCCCCTGTTTCAACTAGATGTCAAAAATTGTTTTCTGAATGGGCATCTTGTTGAAGAAGTGTATATGCGCCCTCCACCGGGTCTCTCTCACCCTCCTGGTGTTGTTTGTCGTCTTCACCGTGCTCTATATGGTCTCAAGCAGTCTCCCCGTGCTTGGTATGAGCGATTTCACTCTGTTGCCCTTCAGCTTGGTTTTCGCCCTAGTCATCATGATTGCGCTCTCTTTGTTCGACGCACTTCTGTTGGGCTTGTTCTCCTTCTCTTATATGTGGATGATATGATCATCACTAGCTCTGATTATAGTACTATTGAGGAGGTTAAGCATCAGTTGTTTCAGGAGTTCGAGATGAAAGATTTGGGGTTTCTTCGGTATTTTCTTGGTATTGAGGTTGCTAGTTCTCCTACTGGTTATCTTCTCTCTCAGACTAAATATGCCCGTGATATTCTTTCTCGTGCCAATCTCACTGATGAGAAAATTGTTTACACTCCTCTTGAGTTGCATGCTAAGTTTTCTGCTTCTGATGGCGTTCCTCTTGAGGATCCCACTTTGTATCGCGAGTTGGTTTGGTGCCTTGTTTATCTCACCGTTACTCGTCTGAATATCTCCTATGCTGTGCACATTCTCAGTCAGTTTGTTTCTGCTCCTCGTTCCACACACTGGGTTGCCTTACTTCGTACTTTGCGCTACCTTCGTGGCACTTTGTTGCAATGTTTGCTGTTATCTGCCTCCTCGGACTTGACTCTCCGTGCCTATGCTGACGCTGATTGGGCAGGTGACATCTCTGATCGCAAATCCACTTCTGGTCTTTGTGTTTTCCTTGGCGATTCCCTCATATCCTGGAAGAGTAAGAAACAATCTGTTGTTGCTCGTTCCACCGCTGAGGCTGAGTATCATGCCATGGCTTATACTACTTCCGAGATCGTTTGGCTTCGCTGGCTTCTTTCTGATATGGGTGTCTCTCTTTATGATCCGACTCAGTTGTATTGTGATAATCAGAGTGCTGTCCAGATTGCCCATAATTCAGTCTTTCATGAACGGACAAAGCATGTTGAAATAGATTGTCACTTTGTTATACAGCATCTTCAGGCTGGCACTATTACTCTCCCTTTTGTTCCCTCTCTCTTCAGTTGGCCGATTTTTTTACGAAGACTCATACTGTTGCTCGTTTTCGTTTTCTTCTTGGCAAACTTTCGATGCTTTCTATGCACGCATCCCCAGTTTGAAGGGGGGTGTGAATTATGTAGTTTATATTATTCATTAAGGATAGTTTAGTACTTTAGATTATTAGGGATTATTAGGGTTTTGTTTCATTCTATTGCTTATATATTTTGTAATTTTTTTGATTAATCAATATACACAAGTTTTGTCATCTGTTATCATATACAAGATACAAGAGGCATGCCTCAAGAGCTAACCAACTATACAAAGACAGCCACCAACAAAACCAAAAACACAACAGGGCAAAACAACCTGTTCAAACACCACATGAGCACATGAGCAGATGAGGGGCAGGAACAAGATCAATACTGAACTACAGATTAGGATAAACCTAGAAGCTACTAGACCACAAAACAATATCGAAAATATAACTCAAAAACAAGGTCTACTACCATAATTAAGGCCATGTACATTCCACATAGAAATCCAAAATTAGGTTCTGGGATTACAAAAATTAACCACTAGAGCCTATCACAACTATACTAATAAATAAAAATTCAGACTGTAAAACAACCACCACAACCTCCTAGACAATAGGCAACATCAGATCATTAAGCACTAGCAAAATGGCAAGCAATAGCAAGCTTCAGTAAGCAGGCAGCAGCAGCAGTACTGTCTAGAAGATAACATGGGATAAGGTGTGATCTCATCTCAACAACCCATAAATCAACTAGCAAGAAACCAAGAAAAGGGAGTTATCCATAATCGGAATAAGAATTTGTCACTCAAGTGAGGCTAGGAACTCAACACTACAAACATAGCATCTATAAATGTATTAATGTAGCAATTTGATACTAAGAATTTAAGCACTTACTACAAGTTTATAACACAGTTACACACAAACAAAACCTACTGACAACCAATATGTCTGTAGAATTGTGACACTAGGAGATTTGAACCTTAGATCTGTTAAATGAGCTTAAGTCACCAATCACTTATCTATAGTATTTTAGTACTTATCTCAGTTCTTATTTTCAGTATCTAGCTAAAACTTACTGAAACTATCATACATGACCAACATAAGTAATATGAACACTTTGGAGGCACCAATATATGACAAATGAAGACACTTGGGAATCGAAATAGTAGATTTTTGCGTGCACCACATTGGTAGCATATGCATATGCATATGCATATGCACTTATCGTTGGACAGAACTTGTACTATGAAGTAATGAAGGAATGTTTTTAGATACTAACTAACTATAGATCACGGTTCACACTGCAAAATTACTCCCACCCCCCTCCCCCATCTAGACAGAGGTAATGAGCAGCAGCAAATGAACAGGAGTTTTGTCGCGTGAAGCAAGATTTTGAATCACGTAAATCTTATGTTACTAGTCTTATCAGCGTGAGAGAAACACTTTTGTCATCAGAGAAGTAGTTTCAAACAATTGAGAGGCTCTTTGAGCGGTCAGTATGCTTGTTTTCCTCCTTTTTGTGATTGAAAATAAATATTTGTGCCTTATCTTCATTATTGTAGGCACATCCTATATTGTTTCAATGGGTTATGATGATGCCTGATTTATATGTTGACAATATATCCTTCACTCCCTGCATTTTCTTTATTGTTAAATCCATTTTTTTCTTCTCATTGCTTCTGTCTCTGTATTTTTCACATAAGTTTCACAATGTTATTTGCGTATAGGTATTGCTTTTGAAGGGCATTCCATGTGCGCCATTAATATTAACACCTAACAATAATTGTCATTTTTTTGTGGTCATTCCATTAGCCCTCTTGGTCTGCTGTAGACATTTTTTTGGACATCATCACATACTTAGCTATGTGGCACGTAATCTAGAGCAACTAGATGTAGTAAGTTCATTCTTTATAGGATATGTGCAACTTGTCTTAAATTGCTTGAGAGAATGTAGATTTGTCCATATGGCCTGAGGATAATTTTTGAGAATTGATATTCACTCTACTTTAAACTTCTCACACTTCAATTTTTGTCTTTTGGCCTTTCACAAGGGGAGTGTGAAAGGCTAAATGTGGAATGTTAACAGCATCACTTTTAATTTCTTAGACACAAGAATCTGGCTACCTATTAATACAAGAGCTGATCACTGCTCAATAGTTGTTCAATACATCTCCAAAACCAAATTTTTTTTGTCCTTGATTCAACTTTTAAGCATCATAGTTCCTCAACCCTAGTACCCTAGCTTACAAAAGATCACAAAGGCACAATGGAGAAAGGATAAATGCACAGAGTTTTTTCATAGAAGAGACACGAAGAGTGGGCCCAGATGTGGATCCTACACTTTGTCTCTCTTCTGTTCTGTGCAAAAATTCTATTCTGTGCATGTAGCACAAATGGGCACAAGGTCACTGTTCATGGGTACTGATCATATTGCCCACTACAACCCTCAAACAGCCACTACAACCTTGTGTTCTCAGCCACAAAAGCCAATCAAATTCAGCCAGTGTATCTCACTCACTCTACATCAATTGTAAACTTGCAATTGCTCTTTAAGGTTTTAGTGAACTTTAACTTAGAGGAGTACTCGACTCTTAGCACACACAATGAATGCTGTCAATGTCTCTTGGTAGTTGTACCAGAAACCAGGAATTGGCTCCTAACTTCATTATAGACTTTCGTTGGTAAAAAGGAGTAGGGGAAGAGGGTGTCATGGGTGGGGGAGGATCCAGGAAATGGCTCCTAACTTCATTATAACCGTCAAAGGATTATTAGCAGCCACTTGATGTTAGCAATGAATTTAACATTCTTGAAAGTTTATTTGGCTTCGATTGAGATCTTCATCATATGCGTTTTAATCTATCATTTGTTAAATATGTAAATCTTAATTAAGATATATCTTAAGCATATGATTTTTTTTATCACTCAAACACTCTAGTGCCTCTAAATTTCCTTTGATATGCAGAGTTTGAAAAATTTTGCTATTTTGTTTCTGATATTTCTATATTGGTACTTTTGAAGCAAGTGATGATGATGCATTGTTATTCTTTGCTTCTGCTATTGATGGATTAACTTTAACTCTAGGGATGCTACTTTAACATACAAAGCTGACGCTTTGGAATTGCAGAGACAGCTTAGGTAACTGCAGACTTAGTATGATATGCTCTCTGGTTAAGCTTCAACTTTGATCTAAGGAAGAAGGACACGAGTTGCAGCAACATCTAGTGTGCTTAAGAATACCAATATGAGACTTAAAGACACTGTTAATCAGGTGATTGGGCCAGTATTTTCTACAGATTGAACCAATTTGTGTTCCAGGGGTGGGGTGGGGGGCAGGAAATTTCTATACTTGGAATAGGCGGAAGTGGGGGTTTGTCTATTAATGGAATTGCGACATACCAACCGTTCGATGGAATGCCAGAACTAAAAGAGGTACGATGTTTAAATGATTATAATGAATTGAATTTCTAATTTGGGTCTGTGTTTTGATTTGCGACTTTACTTCTTTGAAATGTGATAGTTAAAATGCTCCGTTGGTAGGTATGATTATTGAAAATATTGGTGTAGATTCAAACTAATTAGTAGCTTTCTGTTTAGTAATATAATGACAAGATTATATTAGTTTGCTGAACAAGTTTACTGTACAACTTCGTTCGATAGTGCATTTACTACTTACTGTACAAGCTTCCCTCACCATAAGATCTGTGAAGTGAATGATATGGTAATTTTAAGCCCATATATACTGTGGAACCAGTTGATAACTAGACGAAAATGATATTCATGGATCACCACTGCACTCCATGTCTATCAAAATTTGAAACTAAAAGAATACTATTGTCTCCAAAAACAAAGAACGCATAAATAAAATTGAACTGGTAGCAGACTTGATTTTAGCAAAAATTTGACTGCAGTTGGTCTCAAGCAAGCCCCATGTAAGATTCCTAATTTGCTTCTTTCTTAGCCACTTTTCTTCTTTGTTCAGAACTCTTCTGGTATTCGGCATTATATGAGTCTTTTTTATTTTTCATGCTTTAATAGTGTTGTGATTTCTATCTTTCTAAAGATTTAGGGCATTGAAGCTTTATATTTTGGATTAAAATGTGATATTTTTTTTAGAAAGATAGAAATCACAACACTATTAAAGCATGAAAAATCGAAATGACTCATATAATGTCGAACAATGAAAGAGTTCTAACCAAATAAATAAATTTAAGTAAATATTAATTGTACAAGAATAGCACATTATTGGTTGTTCATAGCAGCGAATTTGATACCAACATGGTAATTAGTTTGTCATCATTGATAAATTACCTTACTTTTGTTCAGGACAAACATGGTAATTAGTTCCGGTCAATTTTTGCAATTTATACTAAAAACTATGTTAGATGTCAAAAGTTAAACATATATATTATTCCTATATGTTAAATTTTATATTGCATCTGGATGGAGAATTAGGTGGATGAATTTGTACCTGGATATCTACTTTTAGACAATTTTCTGTTCAATTTCTGTATGATAATGTGGTAGAAAATGCTAAGAAGATATAATGAGCAATTAAGTATTACGAGTCACAAGTAATAGTCAAAGTTAAAGTGATTAGATGGAACTGCCTTTGATGATATAATAACTGCTAGGAGTATAAGAAGAAATAAGGATGGATTTCTATGTGCTAGTTTATAGTTGAAAACTTTCGTTTTGCTGAAAGAGCTAAGGCACTGCAATCATAAAATCTGCTGGAAGCTTGATCAAACTTTCTGCGAAAGTTGAACCAGCAAGAATTCTCACATGTCCTGATGGCGATGGTATCTACTTTTTTTCGTTCATTCTTCGATTGGGTGTAATTTATTGGGAATTGGGTGTATTTTTTTTAATCTCTTTTAAACTGTTCTATGTTCAAGAGTTAATATGCAAAGCTAACAACTTCTTGCAGAAAATCTTCAAGGGTTTCACTCTGTGTGCTGTTTTTTTTTTTTTTTTTTTTTTTTTTTTTTTTTTTTTTTTTTTTTTTGGCTGAGAAAATGAAGCAAATAGTCAATGTGGGGTTCTTTTCTCTGTTTGGTTGCTAAAAATTGGAGTAATAAATATTCCATTGAATCTTGAATGTTATATGAACTGAATTTGTGTGTGCAAAATTACTTATGCATGAATTATATCAATAGCACTCTTATGTCTTGAAATCAAAGGCAAAATGCTAGTATTTTGTTTTGCAATACTGTGGTAATGTGACTGGCCATCACATTACACAGGGAATGAGGTACAACATAAACTCGTTTGACAATCATTTATTTTTCTAAGCTTTTTGCTCCTCTGCTTCACTGTCTTTGATTCCGGTCCACAATGCTCAGGCACTTTCCAAGACATTGCTAATACTGCTGCTAGGCAAAAAGAGGGGCAATCTACGTCCCTTTAAAGTTTAAACCATTGACTTTGAAATTTGTCTAATTGTTTTTTGAAGTTCTACATCGAAATAAACTGAGTTTGTGTTGCATTTGTGAACAGATTATGGTGCTTTTGAAGATCTACTGTGGGGATGCTTGGGAGAAGATATGTGAAGCAATTGATAATATTCCTCTTAGTTGCCTTGTTATAGGGAACCGAGGCCTCGGCAAGCTCAAGAGGTTAATTATTTTGAAATTAATTTTTGATTATAATTTAAATCTACTATTCTGCAATGTTGAACCATTTTGGTGTTTGGACTTCTTTTCTGGATCTTATATATTTTTGGCCAGTGCCCTAAATTTTTTAGCAAAACCGAGAAGAGAGGGAAAGGAAAGAGGGTTAAAAAATTAGCTAACCTATCCACTGGAGCCCAAAATTGTAGAATTTGGTTGCTAATTGTGTAGCACTTGACACTAGCATATATTAAGCCATCCACTATTAAATGATTTCAGATCCATCATTTGACACTAACCTAAACGTTACCAAATAGGACCTCCGTGTTTGGGTTACACTACAGGAAAAAAGGGTTACGGTGGCGTTTTTTTAACGACGTTTTTTTAAACGTCACTGTTATTAACATTTAACGGCGTTTTATAAACGCCGCATATTCTTTTTGACCAAAACGGCGCCGTGTTGAACCATTTTGGTGTTTGGACTTCTTTTCTGGATCTTATATATTTTTGGCCAGTGCCCTAAATTTTTTAGCAAAACCGAGAAGAGAGGGAAAAGAAAGAGGGTTAAAAAATTAGCTAACCTATCCACTGGAGCCCAAAATTGTAGAATTTGGTTGCTAATTGTGTAGCACTTGACACTAGCATATATTAAGCCATCCACTATTAAATGATTTCAGATCCATCATTTGACACTAACCTAAACGTTACCAAATAGGACCTCCGTGTTTGGGTTACCAACTTCAATTTCTTAATCATGTTGACAATCAGCGAAGTGAAAGTGATGAATAGATAAAAAGATTCTAATTTTGCTCACTTCTGCAACTGGGATGTTGTGGGAATTGGTTGTTATAGATGGGAATTCCTTATTTACACTCATAATTCTCGTTTCGTTTGAATTCTGTGAGTAATTGTACTTATTATAGCTGAAGTTGGTAGCAGTTTAATTAGTGTTTATCTGATGGCGATTGGTGACCTCATCTGGTCCAGTATGGTAATTTTCATGGGTGGTTCTTGTGTTTATTTATATAATTATAGCCAGATATAGTCGTTAAATTTTTGTTTTTTTTTAGCGTTTTGTTTAACATAAAAATGTTAGTTGAGGTTTTCACATGGGGAATGTCAAGATTTTTACATTGCTCAAATCTTTAAATTTGGAGACTAGTGATAGCCAAGAGCTAAGTGTGCTTATGAAAATATTTGGCTAATATCAAAAAGTGAATCCATGAAATGATTTACTGAGTCTTGAGTGAATTACTAATCTTCTTCTAAGGGAATTTGGTGACTTTGTACAAATGGTTTTCCTGGGTATGGCTAATTTCCATCTTTCTCCTTGGGTCCTTTTTGAGGCTTCATGTATTCATTATTAGATAGAACTTTATTCCATGTCAAGTTGAAATTTGGAATGTATTGTTTATTTAACAATATGAGTACCTTTTAATACTACATTATGAGTACTCCTTATAACTTTTCTGGGTCATACATACCTAGCATATAGTGCAGCACTGTACACAACTGCAAATGATTGCAGCATTTCATAGGGATGATATAGTATGAACATATCAGATTTTTTATGTTCAACTTTTCTATTTTGTTATGAAAATTACTTCAAGTAGTGAGTTGATCATTGACAATGTTGTTGGCTATCAAATATTCAATGATCTTTACCTATGAAGCACCGACACGTTCCCATGCTCTGCGTACAAGTGTTGGACATGTGTCGAACACGGACACGCGTCGGACACGCGGTAGACACGTGTCCGACACTCTCTCTAACGTGTCTCTTTTTTTTCTGAAATCTTCCAGTCGGACACGCCATGGACACGGCGGAACACTTTTCGGACACTCGTGAGGTGGATCGAAGGAGTCCTAATTGCTTTTCTTGATTGACAGAGAAAGAGACAAAGGGATCGAGGGAGACAGAAAGAGAGAAAGAGATCGAGGGAGACAGAGAAAGAGAGAGAGATCGAGGAAGGAGAGAAGACAGAGAAAGAGAGAAAAAGATCGAGGGAGAGGAGAAACTAACCTGTTCAGAAGCTAAGGAGAGGAGAAGCTAACTCGTGAGGTGGATCGAAGAAGCCCTAACTGAGGTATTCTTCTTCTTCTCTTCTTCTCTTCTTCTCCTTCTTTCCTTCGTCTTCTCTGTCTCCATCATCTCTGTTCTTTTTCTCCTCTTCATTTTCTTCCTCTCCTCCTCCCTTTCGTCTCTCTCTTTTCTGACTCTCCCTCTGCCTTTTTGACTTCACTTTCTCTTTTCTCTATCTTTTCTCTTTTATATTTTTTTTCTTCCCTTTTTCTTGATTTAACATTTCCTTCTTCTTCTTCTCTTCTTCTCTTCTTCTCCTTCTTCCCTTCGTCTTCTCTGTCTCCATCATCTCTGTTCTTTTTCTCCTCTTCATTTTCTTCCTCTCCTCCTCCCTTTCGTCTCTCCCTTTTCTGACTCTCCCTCTGCCTTTTTGACTTCACTTTCTCTTTTCTCTATCTTTTCTCTTTTATATTTTTTTTGCTTCCCTTTTTCTTGATTTAACATTTCTCTCTTCCCCTCTTTCTTTATTTTTTTTCTTTTTTCTTTATCCTTATTTATATGTTAAACTTAAAATTCATAAAATAAATTATTTTTATTTTAAAAAACTCATTTTTTATTAATTTTAAAAAAATATATATTTATTAATTTTATTATTATTTTGATTATATAAGAATTAATGATTTTATTTTTATTTTAGACATATAATAAATAAATAAAATTATATATATTAAACGTGTCCCCAGCGTGTCGTGTCCCCTATTTTTTGAAAAATTGTGTTTTCGCGTGTCCGTGTCGTGTCCTGTGTCTCGTGTCCGTGTCCGTGCAACATAGATCTTTACTTAGTGATCCACAACCTAAAAATTCAGGGAAGAGGTATATATGTTTGTGATAATCTTTTTGAAATCAGCATGTGTTCCTCTATTTGTGCACCAATAAGGATTTGGAAGTTAATGTTTCAAATTATTTCTATGGTGCAATGTTTTGGAGCTTGATATTCTTCTTCATATAATGTTTTTGGATCATGAGTCATGTATAAATTTTTGTTCTTTCTTGGCGTTAGATTATAATAATAATTATTATTTTGTGTTTTATTTTCATTCCATATTTTGGGTTAAGGGGTTTAACCTTGTCTTATTTTTGCTTTTTAACTGTATTGATCTCCATTCCATTTGTCATATAGGTCTCTCGTAGACATGTCGATGGATGTTGCAGGATGATGGAGGAGATGGTTCAAATGATGAGAATGAGCCCAATAGTAGCAGTGACGATGATGATGGTGATGGCTAGGTAGGTTTTTAGGACTTTGATAAATAGATTTCTATAATCTTTGAATAGTTTTGGATTTTGTTTACAAACTTATATATGATACAGTTTTGGATGATTTATAACTTTTTGGATAATTAAAAACTTAAGGATAGTCCTTTTGGATGATTTTGAACTTACGGTTAGTTTTTGGATGCTTGGAATGTATTGACAATTTTTGAATATTCATAATTTACGGATGTAGTTTATTTTTTATGCTTGAAACAATATTTTGGTGATTGATTGATATTTTGTGAAGTTGGTTTGTAATGTTTGTTAGATTGTACAAAATAAGTCAAAATAGAATCTGTCGAATTAAAACCAAAAAAATGCACATTCTACGGCATGTTGAGTAAGTCGTGGTATTACATATTTTACAGCGCTCAATCAGCATCGTTATTTGTCTTACCAATTAACGGCGTGCAAAAGTAGTCATAGAAAAAGTAACGACGTACAAAATCTGTCGTTAAATAGTTTTTAACGGCATACTATGGCATGTCGTAGATAATGTAACAACAAAGCATGTCGTTGAAAGTAAATGACTTTCCATGACTGGTCATAATATAACGCGCGCTGTACATCGTAGAAGGGTTTTTACGGCGTGTATTGCGCGTCGTAAAAACCATTTTTCGTTGTAGTGAACGTTTTTTTGTCGCCATAAGTTCACTATTTGGCGATTAATTATTCTTTTGTCGGAAAAATTGTGTATACCGCGACTAAAAGTTCTTTATTCGCCAAAACTACATATTTGCCGACCAAATTCTTAGTTGCCAAAGAGTAACAGTGCAAATATGGCTATTCTTTGGCTACAAAATTTATTTTAGTCGGCAAAACTTAGTATACTATGACTAAAATAAAATTTAGTAGCTAAAAAACTAGAATAATGGCGACTAATAATTTTTTTAGTCACCTATTGTGAAAAATTTACTGACTAATGCTTTTTTCAGTCGCCAATGAATAATATATGCCGACTAAAATAATTTAGTAGCAAAAACCTGAACCAACGGCGACCAAAATAATTTTTAGTCGCCAAAAATTCAACTTTTGGTGACTAAATTCCTTTTAGTCGCCAAATTTGGTCGCCAAATGTGTAAATTGTTGCAGTGAGTAACATAGTTACTAAAATATCCATAATAATAATAGGGTGAAACGCACATTAATATTTAAATTGACAATATGAATATTCTGTGATGTGAACATTCACATTATCTGTGTGGATGATTTTCTGACCACATGTCAAACAGGTACCCAGCTGGAGAGCACTGGCAGAATAGATTAAGCCCGAACGACCTGCAATAGAAATAAGAGATTCCGGCGGTGGCTCGTCCACCCGGGGGTACTCCGACAATCAAGTCAACACTCAATATCTCTCAAAGATAACCAATAGTGCTTAACTCACTAGACAGAATATCAAAAGCATACCTTAGACCCATGGGGGTGCCTTTCTTTTATAGCAAACTTAATCCTAGTCCCAATAGAAGCCTAGCTCTAATAGACTTAGGATTACTGCTAATCATGAACTTCCAGTAGGATTAGGATAAATTCTCTTAGAGTCTTATCTTTACCCAAACTGAAGTCTTCTCCCATTCTAGGACTCTTGTCCTCCATCCGCTTTATCTCGGATTCCGGTATTGCCGCAGAATACCTCGGCAGTGCCCCAAATATCTCGGTAAACATGATCTGCCCACATAGCACCTCGGCTAACAACCTCGGCCACGTGGACTACCAAAAAAATATGTTCCCAC